GTTTGTCAGCTCTTAATTAATGACTGTCAGCTACAACCATACCAAATGTCTGCAATATTGCTTGAATTATAGACAATTTTGGGTTTTCTAAGGTCACCTGGCTGTGATGGCCATCTTTGATTGGTTCCAAATGTTGCTAAGTTGTAGATGAACATTTCATTAAAATAGACAGTGCTGATGCTAAATAGTTAATGGCAAACATTTTAAATAAAGATTTTACACAATATATTAGTACTCAGAACATGTATTGTAGATCAGTCTCAACAGCGGTGGGCAGCACTAATCTAAAAACTAGTTCCACTAAAGCCCTAATTCAAATATTTAGATCCCCTAATTCTAAAGCACTAACACATTGAAAAATTTAGCAAAAGCTATTTCTAAAGCACTAAAATAACCTAGTTGACCCATGGAACATTCTTCAATAACATGAGTCACATATTGCCATTTTGCTCTCTTAAGATTTATCATTGACATTTCACAGCCATATTTGAGTTTTTTTATTGTCAGTTTGTCACCTAATGGATAAGTGACACACATTTGAACAAAATGTGTGTCAGCTTTAACCCTCAGCTGTTAACAATAATGTTGATAAATAAGTTAGTGCTTCTAAATTTAGCCTACAAATTTAGCAAGTGCTGATACTCTGATAAATTCTAAAATTAGCAAAAGCCCTAAAGCACTAATCAGAAAATTAGTTCCCTTATTAGTGCTTTAGGGGAACTGTGCCCACCACTGAGTCTCAGCTAATTTTAGATCATGATCTGTAAAACTGRTCAAATKTATAGCCATTTTTGTGTGTTTTTTTCTTCTTCTTTTTTTAATTGGTTGTGGCAACCATCTGGAATCAGGTTGAACCCAAAAGTTAGATTTTATTCAACAGTTTGATTGATATGTAGGATTTGAATTTCTGTTTCAGGCCAGAAGGTGGCGCCAACCCTTTCTTTCGTTGGTTGCCAACAGCAATTAAAACCCACGAACAAGAAATACACCGGAAACACTTAACAACATAAGCTATAGCTACTGGCTAGCAGCTCCAGTCTTTTTCGAGTCTTTTTTAAAATCTAATTTGTCCGTCAGTGGTTTTTATTTGTTTTCTGTACGACTGCAGAAAAACGCGAGAACGCTGCATGGATTCACGGATAATTTGGCGACTGTGAAGAACCGTGCAGGACCGCTACTGCCGAGAATGAGTCCCAAACAGACGGACTGACAGGCTTCATCCAGCCATTCAATTCGGCCTGCAATGCCTGAACCAGGTACAAACTATTGATTACTATTAGTCAGGACATTGCATCAAAGACGATTAGACTGATGGCAAAGTTTTTAAAATCCGGTTGTGTGTCACCAGTTAGAGTTTTTAAGTATGTCTCGAGAATGACTTTCAGCTACTACCACACCAAATTTCAGCTCGGCATTTGTGAAATTGTCTGTTATAAATAAAGCTATGTTTGTATTTGCTATGGCTGCTCTGAGGGTGGCGAACATCTTGATTTGAACACTTTCTGAGAGTTTCATAAATCCATCCAGTGGTACATGAAATATTTTGCTAACATTRCAGACATCATATTAGCATGTTTGATTTAGTAAGAAATGTCCTCCCTTATGTTTGTGAGATTTTAAAGTCACTGTTGTCCAAAATGTATATTTGTTTGTTTGTTTTTTGATTGATTGATTGATTTTTCATGCAGATGTCCAGCAGGTGTTTATTAAAGAAGAAGAACCCGATGAATGGAGCTCCAGTTTACACCATCAAGACCCCAAGCTTCACATTAAGGAGGAAGAGGAGGAACTCTTGGCCAGTCCAGGTGGAGGGATAACCAGCTTTCCATTCGCTCTTGTTACTTTAAAAAGCGAAAAAGATGAAGAAGAACATCTGTCTTCGAGTATTTATCAAAACAAAATTGAAGACTGTGAAGATGAAAAGCCTTCTACCAGCAGATCAACTAAACAAAGAGAAGATGTGAAAGTGAACAACCCTGATTTAAAACTTGTTACTGCAAGAAAGGCTGGAGTCTTAAATAGTGATAATGCTAATTATGAAGACTGGCAGATCCCTTTATCAGAATATGGACCTGAAAATGAAAGTAATAAGGGTTGTTTTAAAGAAATTAAGGTGCCTGATGCAAATAATGAGGTAGAAGGTAACAATGCCAAACAATCGTTAACCTGCCCTAAACACACAACAGACCATTCCGATAAAAGTTCCACTTCCTGTTTGTGTAATAAGAAAGGCCCTACATTGAAGCTAAATATGGATTCTGAAATGGAAGCTCACATAGGAGAGAAACTATTTGATCATGAGGTTTGTGATAAAATATTTAATCAAGAAAGACCTCCAAATATTGATACAAAAGACCACACAGAGGAGGCACCATTTGATTGTGATGTGTGTGGTAAAGCATTTACTGTTAAGGGAAGTCTTAACAGACACATGCGAATTCACACAGGAGAGAAACACTTTAGTTGTGATTTTTGTGGTAAAAAATTCGGACAAAAGGCACATATTAACAGGCACATGATCATCCACAAGGGGGACAAACCGTTTGTCTGCGATGTTTGCGGTAAAACATTCAACGCAAAAGCAAATCTTAACGTGCACAAAAGAATTCACACGGGGGAGAAACAGTTTGGTTGTGATGTTTGTGGAAAAACATTCAGCATCAAGGGAAATCTTAAGGCACATATGAGAATCCACAAAGGAGAGAAACACTTTGGTTGTGATATTTGCGGCAAAACATTCATCCTAAAAGGAAATCTTACGACGCATATGAGAATCCACACAGGAGAGAAACATTTCGGTTGCGATGTTTGTGGAAAGACGTTCATCTCGAAGGGAAATCTTGACACGCACGTCAAAATCCACACGGGAGAGAAGCAGTTCAGCTGCGTTGTTTGCTGTAAAAGATTTATTCAAAAAACGGATCTGGGGAAGCACATGAGAGTTCACACTGGAGAGAAACCGTTCAGCTGTGGTTTATGTGGTAAAACGTTCAGTCAGAAGATACATCTTCAAATACATATGATTACACACAAGAGGAAAAACCGCTGGTTGTGATGTTTGTAGTAAAACATTCGACRTAAAGGAGAATCTTAATGCTCACATGGGAATTAGTACAAAAGAAACATTTTATTTGTGACGTTTGTGACCAAAGATTTAAACGTCAGCGCCCTCAGAGTGGATGATGTACAAAAGTCCCTGAACAAGGCAGCTGCTAGCCTGGCCCTTGCCTTCCTACGCAGCTCCGCTCAATTCTAGTTTCCCTTCACTGCTCCGTCTGGGATTTCTCCCATAGACAAGGATTTCTTAAGGAGAATTTCGTTTGGGCCAGTCAGAGAACAGAAGGCGGGGTTTAGAACAACGTCGATTTTCTGCGCAGTGTCTGAGTTCAGCAATGGCAGTGGAGGAAGTGAATGAAGCCAGTCCATGTTAATAGGGCTTCCAAATTAAATTAAATTTGTCTGACAAAGCAGCAGCTCTCATTGACAGTCGTCTCGCTCGGCTCGGTACTTCTCTCCTCTCAGTAGGGTTGTTTACAGCACATGCCATTTCCAGTTAGCTTCTTAGCTTAGCCTCCTTCACAGTGGAGCTGGCATGCGTTCTGGCCAACCGATCCAATCATTTTAAACGTCAACAGAGGTCACGTCTCCAGCAAGAATCGCTTCAGCTGAGAGTCCAGACCCTCATAGGAAGCAAAGTGAAGGAAAAAGAGGCTGGTTTTAACCAGGCTAGGCAGCTAAAAGAAAAGAAGAATAAAAAAATCATGTTTGGAAACTTTTTACCTTTTGAAAATTTCTAAATAGCTGATAAATCTATAAAATATTTGTTATTTGAATGGTACACTAATGGCATTATTTTGCATTGTACGACCCAGCCTGGGTTCAAACACAGTTCTGCATAGATTTGTCTTTATGACCCGTTTCCAAACTGATTTCTGGAACTGGGGCCGATTTGACGTCTCGCGTTGTTTCAGTTGGTCTTCATCTATATAGAGAATGAAGAGAAGCACCTTAAACTCAGTGTCATACACTGTTGTGTCATGAATAAAACGTAGTCACATAAAGATTTGTGTTATTTGATACGATGATCCCGGCCTGCCCACATTAAAGCAGCTCTCTGCTCAAAGCAAACACAACCAGGGCCGGGATAGACAATGCAAAAAAATATGATCTCTTGAAATAATCAGATACGAATTACTGATAAAACAACACCCGTTTCTACTTATTCCAGTCAGTTGAGACTTTATATAGTTTCTGCAAAAATACTGTAGTTATATTTATCTGATGAATGTATAGTAAGTAGTACATACAGTATCTGGTTTTATTTACTGGATCTGACATCAATCTGGAGTTGTCTGACTTTTTCCTGCTACCATTAGGTGGCAGTATACGTTCAGTTATTACTGTTCAGCTTTACACCACTGCTGTTTTGGTTCTGTTGTAATTATGCTTTATTAGGACATAAATATATATTCTGAAACCATTTTCTGTCAGTCATGACACATTAATTAATTAAAATTTTATTATTTAAAAAAACAGCTTTTGTTTAATTTCCCTCAGTGATAGTTGATCCATGAATGTCCACTGTGTTAGCCAACATGGTGAAGCTATATGAACAACTAAAATTATTAGTAATGTTCTGAAGTCTGAAGTGCACTTTTAATAAATTTGTTTTGTTAAATTCTTTGACTCCTTACTGCGCTGTGTAGCAATGTTGTTAAAACAATATTCAATTTTTTTGCAAAGTAATTTTACAAYAAGAAAAGTCAAGCAAGGTTTCAGTTTATTTCTCATCATAGTGCGTTTTAGACTCCAAATTATTTTAAAGTCACCCAATAAACAACTGGTTTTGTTTTTAAAAAGTCTTTGTTAATAAAAAAGGATTTAGATACAATTTTAGATTAAAAATATTGCAGTGAGCCTTTACAGAGGAAAGTTTTTGTGTGCAGTTTTGGTTTTTTGTCTGAAACTGAGATTTTTCCTGTCATTTTTACAGTAAAGGTTTAAGTCTAGGGTGTTTATTTCTGCTATTGTCTTATTTTTTTCACATCTGCATCATCAGTAGGATAATGGCATTCATTAAAGTCTGTTGTGTGTTGATGTATGAGTTAAGTAGTGTTTTTAAATTATGATTACTTTGTGCAAATCATTAAAGTAATAACTAACTTGATCACATTTAGTAAGTGAATTGATAGTTTTTATATTTTGTATCATACTCTGCAGGTATAAGAATAGCTCATATATATTACTGGTATATATATATTATTATATAATATAATTCTTGTCTGTCTGCTCTCCGTGTTTCCTCTTCTCAGYCACTGATTTATGCTCCCAGCTCTTTATACAGTGTGATCGGTTTGCAGAATCAGCAGCATTGCTGCCAGGTTGTCATGGCGTCTGATTGTTGAGCATTGCGTCACGTGCCCCATCACAGCCAGACGTCCCCCACCCCACCCCCCCTTGAGCCCACGACCAGCCCAGAGGTTACTGTGACATTTACCTCGGCAACAAGGAGAGGAGTCAGCGGCGCTGTGCCACCTCCTGTTGAAGCCTGCTCTCTGAAATGATGAGGTTATTTTAGAGCTCATTGTTTTCTCAGAACAGAGGTGACAATATATTATGTTGTGTTGAAACTCTTCAAACTAACAAAAGTACAAAATCGTTTAAATATATTGTTCTATATGATGCTGTGGTTTCTAACAGCTTCACTCTGACCAGTAAAACGGTCAATAATTTTACCAGAAGACAGTTTTTCTCTGCATATTTGACAAACCAGGCTCCATGTTTTTTCTCTTCAGGTGTTTTTTTTTTAGGAACTGAAAGTTTATTTTACCAAACACCTGTTGTTTAATTGTTTGGCACTGTCTTGATTTCGATTTAAAAACAAATTCTAATTGAATCAGGAAAATTATTGGTTGATTCGTGGATCGAGCCATCATGATTTCTGCCATTAAGCTTATTGTTGGAAAACAGCAAAAACAATGAAACACTGAACAGTTGGACATGTGCGTTTAAAGGTTTAGAGAAAATCACATTAAATTAAATTGCAAAAGTTGTATTTTAGATTCWTCCTGAAATTTCACTCAAAAGTCAAATGTTTCTAATGTTTTGTGAGCAGAAATACTTTAGGAGCTCATATCAGCCTTTTAAACAGACCAGAAACACACAGAACATTAAAAATATTTGTTTCACTTCATAGCTATGTACGCATTTCGTCACTAGGATAAAATACCTACATAACTGAGATAAATTTAGAATCTTAAAACAAACTTCAGTTTATTTGATCATTTCACCACAGTTAAACCTCCTGAGCCCTCGAGGGGGCCAGCAGCCAGAGAGGAGGCACTGGGACCTGGGGGAGGGGGGCTCACTGAACACACCAGCAGCATGGGGTCTCATCACTCTCTCCACACTTTTGCTGTCAGAGCTTTTGTTTCCTCCACATTGCTGGCTCACGAGGACCTGCCTCCCAGGTAACTGCGTGCTGCTGAGTCGCTGCTGAAATGATGAAATGATGTCGAAAAACACAGACCTAAAAAATGTGGACCAAAGCAGAGGGCAGCCAGGGAACAAGAAAAGGACAATAACTGCTGGAGATCTGCTACAAAACATGCCCTCATTGTTCAGTTTCTGGGAACTGAAGCAGTTTTTTATTTCCAAGTAAACCAAAGTAAATTCTTACCTGCCTACACAAAAGTATACACATTTCTTTTAAATCTCAAAAGAGACAAGTTAATTATTTTTAATCTATCAAGTCCAAGAAAGCAACATTTAGTCTTGCATCAGTTTGTAAAAGTTAAAGTAGAAAAGTTTTTGGTTGCATCCCCCTCAGATTATTTCTGCTGAAAAGATGTGGAATAATAACAGGTTGCAGATTTAATTTTGCTCGTCAGCGGCTGAGCCACTCTTGTGTAGCCGAATCCTCCACAGACCGAAGATGGATTTTAACAACGTTGTGTCTTCTGCTTTCCTTCACGCATTTCAATTTACTTTCACCGACTATTCAAATCTGCATCTTACCCCCCGGAGTCCTGGCATATAGGGAAAGAAAAGCTCAATAAACAGAAAAGTAGCATGTTGGACTGCTTTTTTTCCCTCCCCCTTCAGGGCTCACGCTGTGTTTTTTAAATGTTCTCTCTTTTTTTGTGTTTGTTTTGAATGTTTTAGCATTTACTCAGTAATTATCTCTGCTTTAATTACCATCAGCACAATTTGAAGTATTGTCAGTAAATCTTGTTGTTTACCTCGCTCTGTTCCTTTAGGACTCTTTGCTCGGCTTTAAAACTAAAACTTTTGTTCTTCACTTGAAAAAAACTTGTTCTGCTTTGACCCAAATTCCAACCTTTTATTTACCGTACATTTATTGCCTTTTTGCTGCACATTAAGAGGTTAGAAAAACACACTTACTTTTGTTATAACCACAGTCTCTTTCCGGCTTTAGACAGCATCGCCTCAAGATCTTTGGCTCTTTAAGGACAACCCACACTTGTGGAGGTCAGCTGTTCTCTTCCTCTCTTGACCGATTTCTTTTAATTTCCTCAGACTTCACACAGCAGAAGCAGGTGTTTAAGGTGTGCCTTAAAATACAGATATGTGCCTCAAATAATCCCAAATGTTGTCAGCTAATCTGTCAAAAGCATCCAAAGTCATGGCATCGTCA